CGCTCCGGCGGCGGTCGGTGCAACAGGACCCAAGGGTTCGGTCCAGTAGCCATAGGGGTAGGAATAGCTAAGGATTTTCCTTTGATCGATGCCGGCGAGACAATGGTGGAGCAATTTGCATGGAATAAAGTCCCCCCACACCGTTTTTGTTTTAATGGTGCTCTGAACCGCTCGGAGGCGTGTGAGGATGGTGTGGTCCTCGCAGAGGCAGCGCTCAACAAATGGCATTGCTTCATCGCCGAGATGGCCTTCCGGGCTTCGACCCACCTTGAATTTGTCTGGTGGGATGAAGTTGATGGAGCTTCAACGTATATTATTGTCATCTCCCTGGGTGACAAGGTTACAGTTTTATCATGTGTGCGCGCTGACGAGTTCTGGCGTTGGGTGCTTCGGATCAATTTGAGGATTAGATGACATTAACTGCATCGTTAGGGGATGCTCCATAGGGGTATGTTGGCGAATATTTCCTGGTTATCATTGACAAGGTAAGGCCGATTTCGGCAGGGGAGCGTGGAGAACAATGCGTCATCGACTCGATCTGGCAGCTACAGTGGCCGCTCGATGGTCCATGAACCTCAATGTAATTTTTGTTATGTGTTAGTTGCTTTGTACTTTTGGTGAACCTTTTATAATAGATTTGAGTCCTTTTCGTAGCGAAAATAAACATTGCAGCCTTGTAGTGAACCATTCAGTTTATGGATGAGCTTGGCGACTCGGAAAGTGATGACAAGGGCGAGCCGCCCAACGAGCTCGTCACTCCTTGCCCTCCTAACCCTAGCTTCGTTGGAAAGCGGTTGGGCGAGGGAGGGGGGGGGGGTAAGTTCTGTGCGCTCGTGTAGTCCGACTTGGAGTTGGAGGACGTGTCCTAGCCGCATGGTGACTGTCGGTGTCAAAACCGGCGGATCTCGGGTAGTGGGTCCCGAACTGTGCGTCTAGGCGGATGGTAACAGGAGGCAGGGGACACAAAGTTTTACCTAGGTTCGAGCCCTCTTGATGGAGGTAAAACCCTACGTCCTGCTTGATTAATATTGATGATATGGGTAGTACAAGAGTAGATTTACCACGAGATCAGAGAGGCTAAACCCTAGAAGCTAGCCTATGGTATGATTGTATGTTGTCCTACGGACTAAAACCCTCCGGTTTATATAGACACCGGAGGGGGCTAGGGTTACACAAGGTCGGTTACAAAGGAGGAGATATACATATCTGTATTTCCTAGCTTGCCTTCCACGCCAAGTAAAGTCCCATCCGGACACGAGACGAAGTCTTCAATCTTGTATCTTCATAGTCCAGCAGTCCGGCCAAAGGATATAATCTGGCTGTACGGAGACCCCCTAATCCAGGACTCCCTCAGTGACGTTAAGGCCAAGGAGATCCAACCAAAGGTATCGCCGGGTAGGGCGCCTTCGGTTGCGCATTTCATTGAAGCAAAGTAGATCAAGGGGACTGACAAAGGTTGACGGGCCGTGTTCGTGCCCGAATGCATGAGTTTGTGCTTCAGATCACCGATATATGTCGTGGTAGTAACCTCCATTCCAAAATATAGTGTATCAATCCCTTAAAAAATATAATGCATCAATTGTTTGCAAAGTTATCTTTTTTATGTTTGACAAAGTTTAATTTTTCTTCTATCAATATGCACGATACTGGATTTACATTATTAGATCCATCTTAAAATATAATTTTATATTTATTTATCTAGTATTATAAATGTTGATTTTTTTGTAAACTTGGTCAAATATTTAATAAATTCAAATATTAGATAAATTAATACACTTTAGATTCTGAAAAAGGGGAGTAGGAGTACATATCTTCCATCTAGACCGACGCTCGGTGAAACGCAAAAAACAAAACGCTTAACACTAATTAATCGTTGCAATATTTTAGCGTGAAGTCAAGTCAGGCACAACTCTTTCCACAAACGTAGACGTCGAGACTTCACTTACTACTAGAAGCTTAGCTAGCGCGGCAAATCGCAAATGGTTTGTGCATCAGCAGCATCTGCATGCATCACCCCCCAACACGTTGATGCATGTCGTGCAAGCGCGCACTAGCCAGAGAGGTGGCCCAGCCCAGAAAGCACTGTCAAAGGGATAAGAACGTTACGTGCTAGCTCTTCGTTAAAGAGACACTAACATGATACCATGCTTTAACCCTAACGATAGGCCGTCTGCATTACGCAAGTACAAAAGTTAACCATGAGATTAAGTCGCCAGAAAAAAGTTGATCGTGAGATTAACTTCATTTCGGTTAGAGCAAGATTGGTCTACTGTGTTAGCAATTTGCACAGTAGACCAGAGTTCGAATCCCACTGTCCACGTCCCATTTTTATCGAGCAAGATGGCGTGGTGGAGGGGCAGCAATGAGCTGGCCAGGACTGGTGGATGCGGTGGGATGGAAAGATGAATATGTTACCATGTAAAACCCTAGTGTAGAACGTGAGGGGGCTTAATAATCCTGCACGTCGTAGCGCGGTATTCCAAGTAGTTGAGGCGGCTTCTCCGAGCATATTGTGCTTTCAAGAAACAAAGATGGAGGTGGTGTCGCCGGATGTGGTGGCCCACTATGGGGGACAGAGATTTGAAAAATTTTCTACCTGCCGGCTATTGGCACGAGGGGGGGCATTCTCCTTGCTTGGGATGCGACCGTGGTGGATATTTCACTACCACACTACACGGCTAATGCATTAACCGCATTGGTCAGACATAGCGAAGGGGTGCAATGGTGGATGACGGTGGTCTACGGGCCACAGCATGACCACGAAAAAATCGAGTTTATGCATGAGCTGGTGGAGATTAGGGAGCTCGTCGCGGGTCCTTGGGCAGTGCTTGGGGACTTCAACTTGCTAGTAAACCCAAAGGATAAAAGCAACAACCTCATTAACAGACGTATGATGGCTAGGTTTCGAGCAAAGCTGAACGCTTTGGAGCTGAAGGAACTGTATTTGAATGGCCGAAGATACACCTGGTCCAATGAGAGGACGGAGGTCACATTGGAAAAGATTGATCATGTTTTTGGCACGACGTCGTGGGAAGAGCTATACCCAACATGCCACCTCGCCGCTCTGGGATCGGCGGTGTCGGATCATTGCCCCATGCTACTTGACTTAACGACAGACTTGGGCGTGGGGAAACGCTTCAAATTTGAAGCTTTTTGGACGAAGGCGGATGGATTCAGGCAAACGGTGCTGGATGCGTGGAGTTCCATCCCGCACGAGGGGAACCCATACGTGGTGCTGGACCAAAAGTTGAGGGCAACAGCAAAAGGCCTTCAAAGGTGGAGCGACAAGTGGATAGGAAATGTCAAGCTGTAGATTGGTATTGCAATGGAGGTCATTTTCAGATTGGAAAAAGGCAATGGATTCCCGGGACTTATCCCCCCAAGAGCTCGGGCTGCGCCGGCTGCTTAAGAAGAAACTGCTTGGGTTATGTTCGCTTGAGAGATCAATTGCAAGGCCAAGATCAAGAATTCTTGTGCTTCGGGAAGGTGACGCCAACACAAGCTTTTTCCATCAGCATGCGCGCCACAGGCAAAGGCGGAACATGATCACCGTTATCAAGCATGGGAACACAATTGCCACTAGTGAAGAGGAGATTGCGGATGAAGTGGATAGCTACTACTCCAATGTTCTCGGGGCAGTGCCAGCAAGGGCCCACATAGTTAATTTGGATGGGCTTCATCTGCCTAGGAGGAACCTGGAACACTTGGAGGTGCCGTTTTCGGAGGAGGAGGTGGTAAGGGTGATAAAAGCAATGCCGCTTGACAAAGCGCCTGGTCCGGATGGATTTACAGGACGTTTTTACGCTTCTTGTTGGCAGATCATCAAGACCGATGTAATGAGAGCACTTCAAGCCTTCTTTGAGGGAGATATGAGAGGTCTCTCGGCCCTTAACAAGGCCATTGCTTCGCTCTTGCCCAAGAAGGATGGAGCGGTGGATATTAAGGATTTCCGGCCGGTGAGTTTGGAGCATCGTATCATAAAAATCTTTGACAAAATCCTGGCGGCAAGACTTGCGGTGGATCTGCCGGCACTAGTGGGAAAGCACCAAAGTGCATTCGTAAAAGGGCGATCGATTCATGACAATTTCATGTTGGTGCAATGCATGGCACGGAGGCTGCATGCGCTCAAA